GAAGGGACCTGAGCAGATCATCTAGTCCGACCCCCTGCCATGGCAGGAAAGAGTACTGGGGTCAAACGACCCCAGCAAGGTGTACATCTAGCCTCCTCTTAAAGACCCCCAGGGTAGGAGCCAGCACCACTTCTCTTGGAAGTAGGTTCCAGATCCTAGCCACCCTGACTGTGAAGTAGCGCCTCCTGATATCTAGCCTAAATCTACCCTCTGCCAGCTTGTTACCGTTATTCCTGGTCACTCCTGGCAATGCTTGGGGGAACAGGGACTTCCCCAGCGCCCGCTGGTCCCCTCTGACTAGTTTGTAAGCGGCCACTAGATCCCCCCTCAGCCTTCTCTTGTAGAGGCTGAACAGGTTCAGGTCCTGTAGCCTCTCCTCATAGGGCCTTCCCTGCTGCCCTCGGATCATGCAAGTGGCCCTCCTCTGGACCCTCTCCATGTTGTCCACATCCCTCTTGAAGTGCGGCGCCCAGAACTGGACGCAGTACTCCAGCTGCAGCCTGACCAGTGCCACATAAAGGGGGAGTATCACCTCCTTGGACCTGCTTGAGATGCATCTGTGGATGCATCTTAAGTGTAAAGAGGATGGGAAGACAGTCCAGTCTCTCAGATGTACAAGGGATGCTTTTAATAATGTTAAAAAATAAAAGCATGATTTTTGTTATACATAACCTGTCTCTTCATAGTCTAATAAAATACAATTCCAAGTCAGCAGGTGTTTTAGTCATCAGAACAACCCTCCCTTTCTAGTGTATGAGAAAATAAAGGTAGTGACAAAGCGGAGTTATGCAGCTCTGTCTTGGAAAGGCTAGTTTAATACACTGATAAAATAAAACAAAACCAATGCAACAACAGAACTGTTGAAGATAACAGAGGATAACAGTTACAGACAACAGCACGTAAGCTGCTAAATGGGGGAGTGTGGGTCAAGAGTGAGAGGCACCAGCAGGGCTGTGGTGGCTGGGCTGTGGGTTGGAAATGAGGGGCAAAAGCATGGGCAGTGACATATCAGGGCTGCTCGGAATCATGAAGCAGGGAGGGAGGGGGCAGGTGCAGCTGCAGCTGGACCCATGTCCTGGTGAGCAAAGGGGGTAGGGGGAGCTCTGATACTCTATGATAAAAAAACCCAAATCAAATGACAAAATATATAGGTATTTAGAATTTATTTTATTATAATTTTGAGGCACTGGTAGGCTTCCAAATTGCTTTAAACTGTAAATACATCAATAAAACATTGTGTTCAATCAATACCTAGACACACACATTTTATCAAACCTAGACATTTTATCTAAAATTGTTAAATAAAATTGTGAGTGAAGGCGAGAAGAAGGGTCTAGGTATTAACTGTAGCAAAACAATATGCATGGTAATTACAAAGATCATTCCAGTATGCAACATCAAAGTGGACAAGGAACAGATAAGGCAGTCAATAAATGTAACTACTTGGGAAGCTGCATAACATCAGATGGTAAATGTGCTCATGAAATAAAATGGAGAATAGGGATGGCATAAGACATTTTTGAAAACTAAGAAGATATTTACAAATAGTAAAATTTCTATGAGGATGAAATTTAGAGTTTTGGGTTGCTATGTTATACTAGTCCTCACATATGCATCAGAACACTGGACAATATTGCCAAGTATGGAAAAGAGAATTAAAGCAACTGAGATGTGATTCTTAAAGTGCATCTTAAAGGTATGCTGGACAAGTCACACTTCAAATGAAAGTATTTTGTTAAGAGCAGACTGCAGGAGGAAGCTGCTTATTAACATTAGAAAGAGACAGTTAAATGTGGGTGTGTGTGTACTGAGAGAGAGAGAGAATTTTGGCTTTTTATCAGAGAATTTTTTACTTTTAAACAGAGAAAACCAGAATCCCTGCTTATGACATAAGCCCTTGAAATAAAAGGATCGATGAAAAGCAAGGACATTTTAGAAAGTTTTGTATGAGACACAAATATACTAGAGAACAGATGATTAAAACAATTCCTTGTTTTTAAAGTAGCTACTTCTAAAGGACAAACTATCTATCATCATAGTTAGAATACTTGATGCTTATTATTTGGCACTTTCCAACTGGGAATCTCAAAGTATTTTACAAGCATTAATGAGTTAAGCATCACCATATGGTAAGACATTAAGATGGTAAGCTAGGTACCATCAACCCTAATCTATGGATGAGGAAACTAAAGCTGAAAGATATTTACTGACCTGCCTAATATTGCAGCAGAAACCAGTGGCAGAACTAGGAAAACAGCCAATATCTCCTGGCTCACTGTGCTGTGTTTTCGTTGGAGGGCTATCTTTTCCTTTATTTAAAGTATACTGAAAAGATTCCAGGCAGCATCTGTGAGGTGAAAGAGTGGAGGTTATTCAGCCTGTTATAATCGTTTTCAGTTATAAACCGAAGTATCTTCCAAAACAAATATTCCATAGATATTTTTGTTTATCCCTAATCAGGTTGTTTGCTTTTTAATCAGTTAGAAACCTTGATTTGTTAGAAAATAAGTTAAACTTCAACTTGCTCTTTTCCCATACTTGAAGGACATGTCTTAAGACTCAGGTAAATCTCAGAACACAGGTGGCCTACTTACAGTAATATTGCTCCAGGTTATAGAGATAGGAAAAGTGAGCACAGCTGAATAGTTTGGAAACCACAGCATCTGGAACCATTTTATGCCTCATCTATCAATCTGCTTGTATGGGAATTGAGAATTAACATTTCAAACCACACTTCCTTACTTCATGACAGATGAATCCCAGATCTGAGGTTATTTCACCTTCCTCCTCCCCCAAAGCAAACTGGATGGACATCTGTGAAGGTCATATTAAAGAATCTTGGATACTTCTCAACTTTGTTCAATTAAAATGCATTAATATATATAAAAAGTTTGTCAACATTGTAAAGACAATCAATTGCAAGGCTCTGTTTTCATTTCCTTTTATATCTTTTATTTTGTTTGCTTAGTTTTTTTGTGGCATTTCTAATAGTTCATGTCAAAATAAAGGTGAACTTTTTCTAGATTATTTTGAGACAACTGATTAAAAGGGTTAAAAATACACAAAGTAAAGCAGTTTTTTCATCTTATATAGTATTTGTTTTCTTCTCATGAAAAAAAGTGTTGTTTTGCCCATTTAAAGTTTCTTATATGTCTTGTGTGTTACCAAATGTCCCATTTAAAGGTTTAGGATTTTTTTTCAAATAATATATATTACTAATTTACTTTTTATTTTGACTCTGGTCATTCACATATTGTATAGTGCATATGCTGATCATACCCCTATTGTACTATTATTATGCATATGCTGGTCATATCCTGTTGTGTTATAGCTGCATTGGTGATTTTACTGCTGTACTACATGACTGTGCTAGTATTTTGTAGGCATACAAAATTTAAAATTTGGAAAAAAAAGAGAAGGCTAGGATGGGAGGGATATGAGAAGAGAAAAAAAATCACATCTTGCATTAGTCAGGCATGTGTACTTTGTTAGTTATTATATAGCAACTTTATAGAAAAAGTATGGTACTTTTTCACTGAAGTTAAGTCCAACTTGATCCTATCTTGTTAGTTTTATTTCAATTCCTGTTCAAGCTAAATCCTACATCTTGAAAATCTTTTGAAAGAGTATCTTCCTAAAGCTAAGGCTAAAGATGTCTGTTCATCCCTAGTACCCAAAGATGCCTGCATTACTAGTTGTGCCTGTAGAAGTTCTTTCCCAATCTTTCTCTTTGCTTCTCATTTTCCTCTGTTCCTGATCTGACAGTCCCACATGACTAATGCTCATGTCCTAATCCTAACTCCCTATGGTTCATTTTGCCCAAACCACCTCCAGTCCCACCCTTGTCCTGCCACTCAAAATAGGGTCTTCATTAATCCTTCCAGGACTGATGAGGATCTTCTGACTTAGAGAAGGATGAAGGATTCTTATGCAATTGGGAATCAGCGGGGAACTGGGATCTTCCCCTATTGTATCATGCCTCTAGCTGGATATTGCCTGTCAACATAATAATTTTCTCTCCCCCACACACATTTTGGGTTGTATGAAGTCCCTACCGTCCCCAATCTTGAGCTCATGAGATTCATGGCACAGGCATTTCCTCAGGCCACAGCCAGAACTAAAGGCTCTGTCAAATTGTAGCTTGGCCCCTAGGATGTTCAGAGCTTAAATAAAATATACTGAGGAGATGTTGCATTTATATTTTTATAAAGTTCAAGGATGTTTTTAAAATATGCATTTAAAAATCTAAATATATTACAAACTTTAACAAATAAGCATAATATTAATTTACTGTATAAGAAAAAGTCATAAACTTAATAGAAGTTTGAAATAAAGAAATAGCCATATATTACCCCAGTCTCTGAGCCCTTTGTAATTCCAAATTATTCTCATTGCTTCATTGTTAAAATAAAAGCTGATATCAAATCTTCGAGACCCTGGCAGGATCACACCTTTCAATGCTACAAGAGAGACTATTAAATATTTTAACAAAAGGAACTCAAAAGCAAAATCCCTACTGGAATATTTTTGTCCATGTTGCCTGTACTTCCACTGCAAGGGGTCATACCTGGAAGCCCAGTCCTGACTACTACAACTGCTGCATAGGTTTTCCTTTTTTTGATGGAGCCTTGAAAGATCCGTAGCTGAAAACAATTCAGTCCTTCCTCACTAGGTTAGATATCAAGGTTCCTGGGAGTCCTGTATATTTGTACTTCCTCATCAGTCCTGGAACATTCCTTCAGGTTGCTGAAACGTTTGGGGTCAAGGAAAAAAAAAAGATTCCAAAATCTAAAAAATGTTTCTTTTGGTTCACTTTTCCTCCCCTGTAACTCATACCCTTGGCAACTCTACGTAAAGTCATTCAAAGTGTAGGGAGTCCTATAACTGAGAGTCTAGTACTGCCCCATATTTCCTTATAGGGAAAGGGGATGTCACATATGCAGAAGGAAAACTTTTTCTTTGCCTCTACATTTCCAGTTCACCCAGTGGCAGGAAAGCTCTGCTATATTCCTGCTCCTCAAACCACATGAAAACTTTGACGTGGAGAATATGTACCAGAACAAGGAAATGGAAGTCTCCATTTTGTATTTGGTCCTCATCAGCAGAGAGCTGTGAAACAGATTTTTTTTTTTTTCCAGACAATAAGCACTCCAGTTGCCTAATACTTTATACAATTTCCCCCCAAGCTCTTACTACAGTTAACAGGTCTATTTTTCCATTCAGGATACCTGGGGGTACAGACACCACATAAACAAGGCTCATAATATCAGTTTATAAAACTGCTGGTAGCAGTCATGATGTGCCAGTCTACGCAAACTAACATCTGTATCAGACATCAAGCAATGACATTTTTACCCAGAAAACTCATCTCATTGGAGGAACAAAACTTTCTACCACCCCCAAATAAGGCCACACCAGGAATAAGTGAGAGCTCACCACTTGTTTTCTCAGTACATGTACATCTACTTCCCTCTCTCAGTATGTGTACGTCTATCAGTGACCTTCCAATCTGTTAAGATTCAAGGCACTCCTCAGAATATGCCAGCTTGTAGCTTTCATTCATTTTTGGACTACAGAAAAATAACAGAGCAAGTCTGCTGTTGCAAAGAACTCAGAAAGACAGCAAGTCAGAATGTTTTTAACACGAAATTTCCTCTTTGAAATCTCTGGTTATCTTGTGAATCATGTTTACACACTTACCAGTGCTAACATGGCATAGCACTCCACAACACCCTGGAAAGAATCTCAAGGCACCCCAGGGTGCCATGGCATCTGGTTGAAAATCATTAATTATATTATATATGTACACACACAAACACACATGCACATATATATAATTGGGATAGAGTTAAGACAAGTTTTTAAAGACAAGGCATTGGTTAAATCCTTGCCTCTTGCATAATTCCTGGATCATCACCTCCAGATTATTCTTAATATCAATATATGTGTGCGTGCATGTGTATACACACACATACTAAAGATATATAGATAGACACACACATACACTTAATATATATCTCTAGTAAATACTGTAACGAAGGGGGCTTAAAGGCAAAAGGCCGACAGAAAAGTGCCAGTGTCGCCTGGGCTTCCGCCGCAAGGGCTGCTGCCCGGCAGGCCTGTCCCGCCCGCCCGCGCTCCCGGCCCGGCGCTCCGGCACCTCTACGAAGACCCGTGCAGGGCCGCCGCGCTGAGGACACGGCCCGCAGGCAGGAGCCCTCGCGGCGGGACCCCAAACGACACAAACAGACAATGCGGCAGGGCTTTCGCTTGCAAGTCCCCGTCGTTGCCATATTTACCAGCTAAACCGACGAGCAAGCGATGCCGGAGCTGTGCCGACCCAGGACTAGGGTTGCCCGGACACCGCCTGGCACGGGACGAGCCGGGGCAAGTCCGTCCCGCCGGGGCAGCCGGCCCGAGAAAAAGTGTCGCCTACGAAACCCTTCACGGGCACCCCCGCATCTGCGGGCCGAGGCAAGGTGCCAGCCCGCCCGGCGGGGGCAGCGATGGGGCAGGACGGGGCGCGGGAAGGGGACTGCCCAGCCCCCCCGCGGGGGCAGGGACTCGCGCCCAGGCGGAACCTTGGTGCGCTGCCGCGGTTCCGGGCGGACGGCGGAGGGGGCGGGACTGCCGGGACCCGCCGGCTGCTTT